TTATTTCAATTCGTAAATCCATTCGTATATTTCCCTGTTCAATTTTTAATCATTCTTAATCACACACTAAGCTAGAATGACCATTATCCAATAAATAGGGAAATGCTATCAGCACAAAACAGTACAATAATTCTTCAGTTCAAAAATTATTGCTACATGTGCTTTCTTTCTCTCCGAGATTATCAAAACTTCATATTTTAATAATTACGACGATACTTATAGCGTTAGCTGAATGCTTTAGTGCCTAAATAAACCAAAAATATAGGTAAAACATTCCATCCTTATAAGCTATTAGTGGAAACATCTGTGTTGCTCTTTCTAACCAATAAAATTTTAATGCCAAATAAATATTGCACAGAGTTTTAAAGGAAAAGTCCATTCCTCTATTCCCCTGAGCAAAATATTGGTACTTAATTATAGAGCAATATTAGAACATTCGGGAAAACTTAGACTACTGTCCAAATAAGCCAAATAAATTAAAATTCTAACATAAGTTCTTTCTAACTGTGAAAATGTAGTATTGAAATCTAATACTTTTATAACTGGAAATCCCCTAAGGGAATTTCATAGCAAAACATATTACGATATTACTTATTTACCAAATATTTCAATAGATTTGTGCCACAGAAGTTAAATTAGCTGAGATTTGTGCCTCGAAGGGAGAATTAAGAAAGATTAATGCATTATTCTAAAGCAAACAATAAATAAACTTTTTATTTCGCCTTCTTTCGTAAGAAATTCTTTTTTTAATTTCTGTTTGCTCTTTATTCCGTTCTATTTATTTAATTATTTTGATTATTGCTATAATAATATTTATTTAATTCTATTCCCATTTTCTCATTTCCCATTTTCCTATTTTTTGGAATTTTTTTGTTAATAATTTTGTTATAATGGCCTCTTGAAAATTGTGGTAAAATATAACTGAAATTCCTGAAAATCGCTGCCCTTGGTTTCTTACTTCTTGCTTCATGGGCCTCTGGTTAATGTGTAGGATCTTTACTTTTTTTAAGGCATGATATTGGGCTTTTTATGAAATTAACTACTTCCCTTATCATTTTGCGGAGAAAATAATGATATTGGGCTTTTTATGAAATTAACTACTTCCCTTATCATTTTGCGGAGAAAATAAACTTTTGGTCTGATGGCGACAGATAATATAGTCATCAACATTTACGTATATTTTACTAATAAGAACCAATGTTAACAGTGAAAAACAATGGAGCAATTAAATTCATCGACTTCAGATTTCTGATTTCTGTATGAATACTGCAAATACAGTTAAATTTTACTTTTCTATAGATTGTAGATTTTATGGATTATCAGTTGTCAAACAGCTATAATTAAGAATATTCACCTCGTATAGTAGAAAAGCCATGCGTAATTAACATTCCAATTAAAGCTGTTGCCATGTGGCACTATTTTTACTAAATGTTGGTAACGCAGAAAAATTGTGAAGGATAATAGGGAGAGGGCTTATTTTTTCGTTTTTTAATTTCATAGTTACTTTACTTGTTGGATGGGAATTTACGATTATTTGTTTGTGAGAGCTAGAGAATCGGTACGAAACAAATATTTTATTTTCGTATTGATCGATATTAATTGGATGTTTTTAATTTTTAAAATTTGCTTTCACAGTTTCTTCTGAAAGCTAAAAATTTGCAAATTTTAATGCTGCTGAAGCACAGAAGCCAAGTGCCATGTTGCTTCGAGGTCAGGCATCGTGGGTTTGGTTCAGTGAGGTAAACCTGTCGTTAAAAGTGTTAATTGCACTTCATTCGTCATATACAGGCGATATCAACATAACAGGCAGTGGGACCAAACGAATTAGAAGTGGAAAATGGTTTAAGGAAAGAAAAGAAGAAACAAAAGAATATTGAAAAAATGAAGTGAAAACAGCGAAGCAGATTAATTTATTAAATTTTTTTCCTTATCTTTATTATCAGTTCATTTCTGTTTCTCGTTATTTAGTGCAAAATTTTATAGGAAGAACAATCTCATTTTTTCGCTGGAAATTTATGGTCGATCGAAAACGAAAGCGACAATATTTGTGTAATAAATCGAAATGGAAAAAAATTAAAAGCGGTATTTCCGGATTACTTTTCACATGTGAAGGTAAAGAAAAACAAGCTGTGCGAGAGGTTTACAATATTCTCCATGAAATTATTGAAAAACGATTCATTTATAATGCAGAATTCACGAACAACATCGACCAGTCGAAGAATTATGAGGAAAAGATGTGTTCAGCAAGATGTGTAATGAAATGGGATCAGGATTCTGAAGAAGAAATCGCCGATTCCGTTAAAAGATTCTGTGATCAAGGTTGTTTTATTTTTTTTTTTTAAATCCTATTTTTATAGGAAAGGCTTACAATAAGTAATTACCGATCATTCAAAACCCTTATGCAATGGAACAAAGGATCATATTTATTTCAAAACAAAAAAAAATTTAAATTCAAATTCTAATTCAACCTATCTTTTGTCATTATCGATCATTAATTATCACTGAAAGTGAGATCTGGGTATACTGATTATCCAACTGCATTTTCATCACATTCTGTGAGTAAGCGGAATCACGCAAAAGAAGAATGGTGAGTGCTATCAGAAGAAGATATAAGAAAAGATTTTCATAAGTTTTTTTGTAAACTTTGTTTTCAGCCCGTGATGTAAAAACTTGTTGTAGTGAAAAAAAGGACATATGGCAGTTGCACTCAGGCGTGCGGAATTGCTTGTTTTTTGCTCTTAATGAGAGATATTCGAAGGTAGTGTATGAAATAGCTGATTATTTAATAGAAATGACGCGTCAGAATCCATGTTGTCGCTTTATTCGTAAGGTATATCCTATAGAGATCACATGTAATGTCGACTTGAAAGATATTGATCAGGTTTTTTTCTCATGCATATTTTTTCATCTTGCTTATTGAAAAAAATTTGTTGGAAATACTGTAATTAGTTTTTAAATCTAATTTTTGCAATTTTTAAATATTTTCCTAAATATTTTACCACAAAAATTCAATAAATTTTTGCATTCATATTCATCTCTTATATAGATTTATAAGAATTTCAAGCAATTTTTTCATAAGAACCCCAGAAAGAATAAAAGTTTGTTTATTAATTCTTTAAAAAATTTTGGCAAGTTTTCAAAAAAATAATTTTTTAAATTTTCATTAATTAGTTTTCATTAATTAAATTTTATGTTAATGTTTTTAGCAAATTTCATATTTAATTGCGCGTTATTTCGCACCAAATATGGATAATACTTGGCCATCTCATTCGATTGAATTTAAAGCGAGTAACAACAATATTATTAATCGTTCGATTGCGATAGGAATGACGGTAGATGCGCTGAAATTAATAGCACCAGCAAGTCGAACAGATTTCAACAATCCGGATATATCAATTTTATTTCGAGTTATCAACAAAACTGTTATGCTTTCATGTATTCGTAATTTCATGCAGAAACGTAAAATGAGTCTTTCATTCAAAAATAATTAATCGTTAAATTAATTCTGTTTTTAAAAGTAATATTTTTAAAATTATTTTCTGCTGTTTTTTAATAGTTTATTTCATATTAATGATATGGAATGATATGAAAATGAACAGCAGGAAATATTTTTCTTTATGAATTATAAATTTTTGGTATTGGAGATTGTTCAGTTACGAGTCTACAGATTATAGGTTCAACAGCGTCGTAATTTTCTCTTTTATCAATTTTTATTATTTATTATTTTAGTTGTCGGGAAAGTGTTTTATTGTTGTTAATATGATGAGTCGAAAGGGAGAGATTTGTTCACCATAAAAGTATAGTAAAAATATAAAATAATATTTGGTAATAAAAATAGAGGATTAAATCAGACTAATTCAGTAAATTCAGACAGAAGGGATTAATAATTGAGTCAACGAGACGAATATAGGGTTAATTTAAGAAAGAATGTCGCGTTGAGTTCAGGTTCATTTTTTTTTTGAAATGCTCCTTGAAGAGATTCTAGGAACTTATATACTGCCCATATGTAGGTTGGGCCATGTAGGTTACATACGAAATTACATACAAAATTAGTTTTTTTATCCAAGAGAAAATTGCATGGAAATTATTTTTCCAAAGGTAGAACTTTATATTATCATTTTTTGAAGAAATATTTGAACCCTGTATTACTGGAATTTATTTTGAAGTCTAAGCATTTTTATATTATTTTTTTTATCATTTTTTTTGCAAATATCAGCTAGGGCTTCTTGAATAAATGCATTCGTTTACTCTGAATTAATGGAATTAATGGAATCGAATAGCCAAGCATTAATTTATCTATATATTTATATATTCATTTGATGAATTTTGATCCAGATTTTCCATTTCTTTCAAGTATTTAGATAGTAAATTGCAGAAATGGTACTTTTTTTTTCAGCTAGACTATTCAAGATTTGCGCAAATCATACTTTTAATAAGTTCATATTTCACACTTTCCACTTATGGATGATTCTATGGATTTTATGCCAAGTGGCATAAGCAACAATGGTATTTTTTTCCGAAAATTTTTCTGATTTCGATACAGTTTAGGAAAAAACTTACTGCCAACTGCAGATTTCCAATTTTTGTTAAATCCATTTGTAAGAAAGAAATCTTATCAAAAGAAGTGAAATATTTTGAACTTTTTCCAGAAGTTTCTTCAAGTTATTCTTCAACCAGTTTTGTTTATTTACCAAGCCAAATTAGTTCTTTCACTATTTGTGAGTCTTCTTTATCGATGAATCCATGTTCCAATGTCAAAGAATCGACAGAATTCATTGATATTCATCATCCCTCAGTTGTTCTTAGCAATCTTGCACATTTTCGCGACCAAAAATTTATGTGCGACATTGAAATTGAGGTTTCATTATATTTTATTGAAGTTTTTTCTTCAAATTACAGAGCAAAAGCTTTAAATTACAATACGAGCAGAATTTAGACATTTATATTCTAGTCATTTTTAATTACTGCTAAATACTGGAGTGGTAATAAATTCTGTTATAAAGGTTGAAGGAGTTGTTTTCGTGGCGCATCGATATGTGTTGGCTGCTGCTATACCATATTTTCAATCAATGTTTAGTTCCGAAATGCTTGAATCTCGCCAGCGAAAAATCTCAATAAAAGTATTTGTTCACTTTTTTTCTCCTAAAAATTTTATAACGGCAAAAAAAGCGAGTGAAAATGAAGAATTAAACAATTTTTACAGGACATACCGTCTATGGCTTTCCAACATTTATTGGATTTTGCATATACAAATAAAATTTTAATTACTGGAGAAAATGTTCAACAGCTTTTATATTCTGCTAGCATTTTGCAAGTAAAATACAAATTACAAAAAATTTGCTCTTTCAGCGCATTTTTCATATTTTCCAATTCACTCAATTATTATTAATTTTTTTATCAATTAAAAGTATTATTGGCTGTTGTGTGAATTATTCAAGTTTCACCATTTTTTTGGTAAATAGATGGATACAGTATGTAGTGCATGTCAGCGCTTTCTTACGCAGTATCTGACTACTGCGAATTGCTTATCGATTCGTCAATTCGCTGAGCAGCATAATTGTGTTGGTCTACTTTCATCTGTAGACGATTTTGCTATGGAACATTTTCCGGTCAGTTTTTATATTTCTTCTGAGGTTGTTTTTTATCGAGATGTAGGCGATAAAGTAACAAATCAATAAATTCTTTAATGTTGATGTATCAGTTTTTTCGTTATTTTATTACAGGAGCTGCGTCTTCTTCCAGATTTTCTTCAGATACCTTTAAATCATTTGATGGATCTTTTGCAAAGTCCAGATCTAAAAGTGAATAATGAGCAGGAGGTTAGCCAATTCATTTTCAATTTTTTGAATTTTCTTTATTTCTATTTTTATTATTGAATTACCTTATTTACCATATTTCCCTGCAGCAGTTTCTGAGTTTCATAGTATTTACTATTATTAGACAAAAAATTTGGAATTTAATGTAAATTATGTTCAAGGATTTTTTAACTGTAGATTTTGTAAGCGAAACGTCAGAAAAATTTTGAGAGTTCTGGATTTTGATAAAGTTTATTTAACTGAAACATTCAGGTATTTGAATCAGTTATTCGGTGGGTGCAGGAGGATGTCATTAATCGCAAAGCTGATCTCGCTGATCTTTTAATCTATGTTCGATTACCACAGTTACCGATATTATATTTTCTGAATAATGTAGCCAAGCATCCTTTAATTTTGGTGGTTTTTAATGATTTTTTCAACAATGTTTTTCGTTTTTCGTTTGATTTGATTTATTAAGTCTTCTTTTTTCAAGGAATGTACGCGATGTCGAGATATTGTAGCAGATGCTATGGGTGAGATGATGCGATCTCAGCTTATCCCAGCTTCTTCTTTAGAAAGTGTCTCTACTTCTTCAGTTTCTTCATTCAGCCCTTCGTTGACAACGAATAGTGGTTTTTTTCCGCAAGGCTCGGTTTCAAAAGGTTACTTACTGATTAGATAGTTTGCAGTTTAGGTCTCACATAATTTCCATTCTTGTTTTCTCTCGCTCGTATATGTTTGCGCTGTTGGGAAATCACATATGAAATGTTCAGTCATAAAATTTTTTGAAAATTACAGCGATTTATTTTCATTTAAATAAAGCCTTTATATCGTATAAAACTGGTTATGAATTTCAGCTGTAACGAGTATTTCAACGCCTTCAAATAACAGCCGGGCATTAACTGGCCTTTGGGCAAACTGCCGCCCCAGAAAAAGCGCAGCTGGAGTCGTATTTTGCGTTGGAGGCCGTGGTTTGTTAAAAAATTATTAAAAGATTGATATATTTAAATTTTCATTGTTGTGGAGTAATTTTCCTAAATTCCTACCAACTTCATTATTTGTTTTAGAATATTTTGGTCTGCTCTTCTGATCGCTCTGATATTGTGGTTGACTGCATAGCACTGCATACTTTCTATATAATATATTTGTAACATAAATATATGTATAAAATACATTTTCTATACAATATATCTTTAAGGTACTACGGGTGATCCATTTCGATCAGTAGAAGCATACGATTGGCGTAAGAGTCGGTGGTTTTCAATAGGTGATATGAATATCCGACGTCGTCATGTTGGGGTAGTCAGCGCTCAAGGAAAATTGTAAGTTTCTTAAGCTTGTTTTGCTTATTTGCTGATTTTTTACTTTCTTTTAGGTATGCTATTGGTGGCCACGATGGAAATAATCATTTAGATTCAGCGGAATGTTTTGATCCTGCAACTAATATGTGGCATACAGTTTCGCCCATGGAAACACGTCGTAGAGGTATTGCTGCCGGAGCTTTGGAAGGTGCCATTTATGCAGTTGGAGGCTTAGATGATACTGCATGCTTCCAGGTTTTTTCCTACATTTTTCTTTTATTTGATGATTGCGGCAAATTCATATAATTGAAGGATTTATTCTAGGAACGTTCTTTTCATTTTTTAGATTAATATTGATTCTAGGTTTTAATATTGATCATATAATGTCAAGGTCATTTTTTCTAAAAATGCTCATCATTTCCGGATAGGCTCGCTTCATTGACTTGATAGACCAGACAAATTTTGCCATGAACTCATGGAAGCCCTGCTGGTTCAATAGCATTACCCCGGTTTTTTCAAAGACAATTTTACTTCTACCGGGAATTTAACTCATCATCGACACCTCGAAATAAGAGGAGCAATCGCCGAGCCACTCAACGCTAAGCTCTAAGAGCACCTTGATTTAAAAAAGGCAGTTTATTATTGTAAAAATTCTTAAGAAATCCAAAAAAATAAAGGTTTTTCAGACTGTTGAACGATATGATATAGAACTGGATAAATGGTCAGCAGTTGCTTCCATGAATGTCCAAAGAGGAGGTGTTGGTGTTGCTGCACTTGGTAAGCTGGGACAATCATTTTTGCTTGAAGAAAATTGAAGGTTTAATTCAAGATAGGCTTGAATTCAGGCAAATATTTATTCGCTGTTGGTGGCAACGATGGAACATCTTCATTGGATTCCTGTGAACGTTATGATCCTCTACTTAATAAGTGGAAATTAGTAGCTAATATGCAACATCGACGGTGAATTTTCCATTATTTTATTTTATTGAGAATTTTCAGAAATGCCTATTTTTTCTTTCAGGTTTTTTCTATTTTTCGATTTGTTTTGCGACTCATTTCCACTATCCCTTTACCAGCAGATCTTATGGTTTTGAAATATCCTTTCCATATAGCTGTATCTCCTTTAACCCAATTGCAATTTTCCATTATAATTTCTGATTAATTAATTTCAACCATTTTTCACTCACCTAAAAATTACTAACAATGCTTTTTAATATTATTGGTTCGTTTTTGTGTTCGGAATTTATATATATATATATATATATATATATGTGTATTGCTAATGGGGTAGAGCGATGTGGCAGAGACCAGCAATGATCAGATGTTCAATACTGATTATTTCTTGAGCTCTGCAAAAAGTATTCGTTTCTTAGTTTGAGGGTGTTGTTCATTGCAGGGACAGCACTTTAAGGTTGAAACAAACATATTTTTTCATTTATATATATATATATATTTATTTATTTATAAATACATATATTTAGTGCTGGTGCTGGTGTAACAGTTCTGGATGGATGTCTTTATGCTATTGGAGGCTTTGATGATAATGCACCATTGCCTTCTTGCGAGCGTTATAATCCAGAAGATAATATGTGGACCCTTCTTTCGCAAATGTCTTGTCCTCGTGGTAATTATTTTCATCAATTGAGCAATCTCATTTTAATGATGCACTAAAGTGCTTTTATCAACTATGTATGAAGTATTCCATTGGATACATGAATTATGACGGTAACTGAATGACATTTTTTTTAAACTTTTCATTGTTTGCACACTGAATATTATCTGAGCAGTTTCATTTTAGGAGGTGTTGGAGTTGCTGCAATGGGTGGTCTAATTTATGCCGTCGGTGGTCATGACGGTATGCGTTACTTGAATTCGGTTGAAGCTTATAATCCAGTAACAAATTCTTGGTCTCCTGTCGCCTCAATTAGTCAGTGCAGGTTGTGATATTTTCCCTGCATAATTTTGTTACCTTAAGTGTTGTAACCGTTTGAAAGAACTTGATCTGTAAAACTTTCTTATACTCTCTTCGTTTATTATCCGTTAATATTTAGTCGTGGTCGAAGTTAGTATCAGTTTAATTTTTAATACTTTTCAAATTCTTTTTAGACTCATGTGTAGGAATTCAGGGTGCATAACATACATGTTTTATTTTTTCATTCACTTTTTATTTCGAATCATTTTATTTTAGAGCAGGTGCTGGCGTTGCATGGGCCGAATGCAGAGTCGATTTTCTTTTGCGCCCCCCTGCCCCTGGAAAAGATAGCGGATGTGCGCCATGTATAACTGGTGCAGCTCATTGTGTTTAATGTAACGGACAACTTGCCTTTGAAAATTTGTTTGATGAATACATTTAAAGCGAATCTAGTCAGATTACCTTTTCCGCTATGATAAACATAAATGTGAAAGGTCGGATTGCTTAGTACAGATGACGGCAACCAAATGACTTGAATTATAATTCCAGGTTATCATTTTCCGTAATTTTAGGTTTGCGTGTGTGTCTTATTCGTATATCATCACAAAATTTAAAATTCTTTACTTTGCGCGATTATAAAGCCTTTATATGATTAATTGCACCTTTTTTAAAGAGCTTTCACCGTTACTGGGTTAGACTCGCTCCGTTGGCTTGTCGCACTGGGCAAATATGCCAGAGAGTACCTTGGCGATAAAAGTACGGGTGAATCGCGAGCATTAATTTCATTACACTGTTTTTATTTCACTCCTCTCCAAATGAAAGAACCTATTATCCTGCTTTCCTTTGTAAAATTGGAGACTTTCTAAGCGTTCGGTAAAGAGTAATTATTATTTATTATATATATTGTAATAATGTATCGCTTGACTTTTAATTTATACGTTTATTAAGCTTCCGTATTTCTTAAAATTTTCTTTTGCATTGTATAAGGAATTGAAGGTAAAAAAATATTCAAATTAATCTAAATAAAAGCTAAACTAAAGCAGTGAAGTAATGGTATGATGATATATAACAGTTTATTGGCTGTAAATTTACTTTTAAGTGATTAAATGACCTCCACAATAAAATGAAGCAATAAATTAATGAATGGAAAGTGGGAGAAAGTGCGGAAAAAACCATGCAGACCTTGTGCACTACTTCTATTCAACGGCGCTCGCGATAGCTTCCCTTACAGCTGGGTTAAGTGATCTATAAAAGATGGTATAAGGAAAATTATTACAGTAAATTAATTCAACATTAGAAAAGATGCTGGAAAACCAATGAAAATTACAGAACAAAACCAATAAAAATTTGTAAATGTTTCCTCCAATTCATTTTTTTCAGTCATTTTTTCTCAAGAAGGAGCAAAATTTTCCAGATTTTTACCTGATTAGAAGAGTCATCGTGACTGTTTGGTCAGATGAATTCAATGCTAGTCGAGCCTTAGCAAAAACATTGTGCTCTCCACGATATATTCCTGCCAGAAGTAAAGTATGCGAGCTTTTCCCTTCCATTACTCGGTCTGTTCGTTCACAGCAACTCATTCCAATACATTTAATTAATTCGCGAACAGCATCTAGAAATTTTATTGCAAAGGTTGATGTGCAAAAACTCTGAAGACATTAAACAGAAATAGAATGGGAAAAGATATAGACCTTGAAGTGAATGAACAGTGGACAATGCAAATGTTTCCTCCAATTCATTTTCTTCAGTCATTTCTTCCCAAGAAAGAGCAAAATTTTCCAATTGTAAAGGTTGCAAATAATCAGCAACACCTATTTCCACTTCTTCCAACTAAATAAGATCAATAAAGAAGTAAAATTCATTAAATAATAAATGGCACCTTAAATCATTTAGAACAAGGCAAGAAAAGAAGAAAATACCACAAAGCTATCATCATAAAACTCATCGCCTTCCGGCTCTCCAGTAGTCGGATCGACATCCTTCACTTGAAATTTGAGAGTAGCAGCAAAAGTGACCGCCACTGCTGGCTCAGGTATCTTTAAAAGCAAATAGCTCGTTGCAGATGCTGAAAAAGGAAGTTTTGAGATAGGAATAACATGCAAAACAATCCAGCCGTCCGAAATGCCATCCAATTCAACGGTTATATTTTCCAGAATTTGATCACTCAATGTGTTCTTGCAGTCAAACTGAAATTGAAAACATTAAAAGATATGCACGCTGATATTCGATGTTATGAACTCATTTCGTCAATAATATTACATTTAATAAAACATTTTGAACAAAAAGAAATTTATGATATACCTGTAATACAATATGATTTTTAAATGTATGTTTGATACAAGCGACCGTGTACTCTGTGACGTCGTCGGTCAGTGCAACAGGCTGTGATGATCGTAAAAGTGGACCCAATCGAATAAATTCGTTGATATTCGACAATTGTTCTAAATTTCCTCCAATAATAATAAATACTAAAAAAAAGTTAATAAAAGTTGAAATACTGTAGTTAATAAATTGTTAAAGGTCGAATTTAAGGTAATAATTACGGTCAGTGAAATATTTAAAAAATAAAGAAATATAAAAAAATAGATGAAGAATGAGTTATCGCTCTCATTTAAGGTTACACAGAACTAGGCCTGGGAGTAATTCTCAAAAAACCAGGTGGTGCTGGCTACTCAACTATACTATCGCAAAGTGACTCCCTGATAAAATTTATCTGGTCTCATAAACCAATAGAGAAAGCTTTAGAAATGATGAGCGTTATTAGAAAAAAATAAGTAAAATGATACATTATTCGAACTATGAACAATTTGAACAGTTGAGAACTGAGAATAATAAACTTTCGAGTACCAGCATAAATATCGAGGCGAGAAATTTTCTTTTCCTCTGTCCGAGCTATTTCGACAGAAAGAGGCTTCCGAGTCTCAGGAACCAATAACGATTCCGTGGATATTGGCACAGATTTAATATCGAATGGTGAATCAAACTGCCCAGATTTAACATACTGTTCCAGCGCTCGTTCTAGCGCTATGACTGACACCTAAATAAAAATGCTCGAAAATGTGATCGAAGTATATTGGAGATCAAACTTACTTGAAGGCCATTCAAAATGTAGTTTGAGATCAGCTTTGGATTATTGCTTTGAAGAATTGCAAGGTAATATGCCGCACGATCACGGACTTCATCATCTGTATCCAACAAGCAACGTCGAAGCAAAACTTCAATTGATGTACGTAAATCTGGACAATGAGCACCAAATTTGGCGAGTGCACTTACAGCTGCCGCACGAACCTAAGCAAAATAATGCAATATACTATAAAAACCTAAAAAATTCTTGAAAATTTCTCAACCAAATAAAATTACGAACTAAATCTTCGCTCTCATTTTGGTAGAATAATTTAAAGATATAAGAAAAACCTGGTATGTTTCTAAAATGACGCGATTGTACACAAAACGTATATAACGGGAAGGATTAGGTGTTGATGGAGCTTCACGGCCAAGAAGATGCAAGACGCGGGTAGCTAATGCAGAATGTTCACAGTCTTCGATGAATTCACACAGATGTGACAGCCCTGAACATTTTATTTTAAACAATAATTAACATTGGTTTTTCGTAATACAAACCCATACAAAAATTTACCAGCTTCTTTCGCATCGGGGTTTCCTTCAATAATAAAAATAACAGTATCCACAATACTTTTCTTATAATCATATCCACCATCATCGCGTAACATCGTTGCCAGAAATGACATCATTATAGAATGCTTACGAGGATAACGCTCACAAAGTGAACGAATAGCATCAATAACAACGATCTGTGAAAAAAAAATTAAAAAAAGACAGCAAAAAATAGAAGGAAAAATCGGTTTCTCCATCTTTTTTTAAGGACTGAAGATGATAACCTTAAATTCATCACTAATTTCATTCACAAATGTGCTGATTTGTTTCATCAAACGTTCAACAGAGGATTCAGCTCCTGTTTTCAATAACGTTGTTATTGCAAGTGTCGCAATTGAACGATTTTGATCCGTAATTAATTGTTCTAAATCGACATTGCAAGAAATAACAGCTTGTGGATGCTTCATTGCTATCTAAATATCGATATTTAAAAATAAAAAAACCCTTTAAATAAGCATAAATAAGCATTTTGCAGCAAATTTTCTCAGGTGATACATGCAGATAAATAACAAAATTTCAACATAAAAGTGCCTCTTACCTAATTTAATTGACTCCTACCTTACTTTTTAAGATCCTTTTCAAAAAAACCTTGTTCAAAGTCCGAACAGCAGCAAATCTCAAAGCTGGTTTTGGTGACGAACAAAACAGCTGAAGAACTGAAACAGCTGGTGAAAGTTCCGACGACGTAGTTTTAGATAAACGAACTATAGCCGAAGCCGCTTCATAAATCACCATTTCACATTTGTGACGAAGACAAGATTCAATATATTGGAAAAGTGGACTTTCTGATCTAAAATTGCAGATTTTATCTACAAACATAAAATTAATTGTAAAAGCAGTGAATAATAAAGTTCGTATAAAAAAAAAGATTTTAATCAAATTAGCATGGAAAAAACATGAAAAAAATATGAAGAAATTTTATGAACCCTGCATCGTCTTCTTCGATAAGTTTGGCAGCTAATCGAATAAGATAACAGATAGCAAATGGTGATGGTAATAGTGATTTGCTCCATTTCTGTACAAGTTTATTTACTGCCAAACGATCATTACTTCGAATATTATAGAGAAGACCAAGAGCATGCAGTTGTACCATATTACTAAAACATGACAGAAATAATTTTAATGCATGACAGAAACAAACATAAAACCAAGAAATAAAACTATAAAATAATTTGACCTATCAGAAGAAACTGCTTCTTGAATTTCATTTGCCCATCGACGGACAATTTCAGGATTCTTTTTCAGAAGATGAATTGAAGAAACAATTGCTGCTGATGCTACAGCAGAATTTTTATCAACAATAGCCTGAATGAAAAATTAAATCTGAAATTAAAATAAATTTAACAAAATTTAAAAATTAAGCCGAAGATGAAAAGCAAAAATTACAAATACAATAGTTATCGTTAGCAAAATACAGCCAAACCAATGAAAAATTCAAAAATGAATTTACTGCAACATAAAACCGCAAAAAATTGTGATTTACATCATGTAAACTATGAAAAATCTGAAGAAAAAATAAGAAACAAAGTTATAGAAAGTAAATCTGAAAAATATTAGAGAAAAAAATTAACCTGTTTCATATAACGTTCAATGCCCTGAAGCATGCTCCCATCTATAATACAACAAAGAGCTCTGATAGCTGGTGCTCGATAAGTATCTTCACGACCCGTCATATCCTTTGTCAAACTACAACTTTTCGAACATTATAGATGTTTAATTAAAGCTTTTTTAATAACAATAATGATTTAATAACAGAATTAGAAAAAAAAATTTCGTTTTACAATTTTATGAATATTATTACTGATTATCAATATTAAGAAATAAATTTAAACAAAATAAAGAAAACTTCTGATGACAAAAATTAACCTGCTTGTGACAATTATCACATCATTAGCAATATCGCACAATTCTTTTATAGCCAAATAAACTAGACGACGTAGACTGATATCCTTACTTTGCCACAGTTTGGTGATAGCGAAAAATGCTTCTGTTGCCTCCAATCGACCCAGCGTTTCACCCTGCTGACGAAGATAAAGCAGTTTACTAAGGATGACACTACATTTTCGAGCGTTAATAGGTGTTTCATTGAAAGCTCGAGTCTGAAACGAACTTCAGTCACCAAATTTTTTCTTCTTTTAACAGCTTTCACCATAACTGGTTATCCTGGCTACAAGGGTAAGACGTCTCCAAGCTGTTCGGTCTGACGTCATCGCTAATAGTAATAGCCATTTCTTTTTCCACCATCTAAGTCGATATATCGCTGGTTCCCCTATATATGCAAAGTCAAAATCTTTCTTGACTACATCAGTCCAGGTCTTGATTGGCCCTCCTTTTGACGTCAACCATCACAGGGTCCGGCAAGTAGCGAAATATGCATCAACTGCTGTGGTGGACACGGGAAGCGTGAGATGTCTGTGATAAAATTAATATAGGTGGAAATTAAAGTAAATGCGATAAATGTAAATGCGATTTGGATAATAATGTGCGATTCCGATCGATGGACCCGTAAAATGTATCTTATATATGAAATGAACAAAGGCTGATAGCTTCTTAATATCTTCCACTCCCATTAGCCATGTTTCACAGCCATATAGCAAAATCGAGCGAACTGCAACTATATGGACGCGAATTTTCATTTTAATGGTAATTTCGCATGGTTCCATAAACTTTTCGTCAAACGGAAAACATATTTCTAGCTTTCACTCATAAAAAATATAAATATAAATAAAAAATATAAATCAAAAAAATTATTAATTAATGGATTTCACTGATTGTAAGACTTATGAAAATTTTAAGATAAATGAAATCAAGAAAACTTCCAATCATATTTTTCATTTTCCCTATAACTATTTAACAATCCAAAAATTCTAAAAAAAAATGCTGCCCTTAACGGTATCCACAAAAGTTTGGATCCTCAAAAATATATTAACAGTACTTTGAAAATTATTTGGCAACTGTTCCTTATCCGGCACCCAGCGCCGACAACATCTGTTACAGGTCATCTAGTAAGGTGTTCTCTTTCTTTCCTCCTATATTCTATAAACCATCAGTTTACTCGCAAACTCTACAAAAGTTATGCGTCGACTGAAACATCATGGATCCGATTCCTATATATCTATATGTATTCGTATATATATCTCTTGAAAACTCTTGTTAAAAGCGAACTCTGGGTAGTAATGAGAATCCATTTCAGTACAATTTTATTCTGGCTAAAGAAAAATGATGTAAAGAAAGACATAACGTGGGAAAACCAAACAATCCTTCTTTCTATCTTTCTTTATTTTGATAAATTTAAAATATTTGAAAATGAAATTAAGTAAAACAAAATAAAATATAATAAAATTAATAAATAAAACTTATTAATGTAAAGGAACTTTAGAAGAAACAAACAAAATAAAAATTTAAACCTCTTGTAATACAGCGGTTTTATCAAGATTTGCGTAGACGTTCCATAATCCACTTTCTTCTTCTTTTTTATCTTTCCTCATAATTATTCGACTTTTTTTCTCCAGTTATATGCGCAGTTCTTTCTCCAAAACGATTATAACTGACCAACAATTAAAGCCAATTTACTTAATCGTAATAACTTGGTCAAACGTTGTAGAGCAAACAAAATTAAAGATTAAACTACAAACAATTTCATGCAATAATCGAAATTAAAAAAGAGCAGCACGTAAACGTGAACCCGAGCAGGGCTAAAGATCATGCAAACGTAAAACACGAGCCCCCACTAACAATAACCTCTACGCAAAATTATGCAACAACGCTATTCCGCTACCACGTCAACCTTAGTCCGACAAATAGTAATCACATTTTCCTCGTAAGATTTTATATCGTCCGAAGTTTGTATGTGCAACGCATATACCGTAATCGGTTTTTGAGAATTTCTGTTGGTGAAAGAAATTGTGCCGAAGACCATTAAAGCATACAATGACGGTGGTGATTGGTGTTAGCCAGCACATTCATAAAAGGATTTTAAGCGCAGCAGTGCTGAAAAATTGGCTTTCAACCGCTCCATTCGTTTAATTTATTCGCTTCACCACTGCACCAGAGCCTTGCTGCACCACTTCCCTTCGAATGTTCTCCTATCTCCATTTTTTTCATTTCCACAGCCCCATGCTTTTAATTTCGGGCTTTGGTTCGTTTATTCAATTGTATCGTTTCTTCCGATTGCTTCACAAAAAAAAAAAAATGAAAACATTAGAAATAAGGATAAATCTATTCAATAATTTTTGTAAATACTGCTATTGAAACAAGCAAAATTTTTATTAGGGTGGCTTTTTTTGTAGTTTTTTGGGTGCTAATTTGACCTTTTTTCCTTTGCATTTTGCTGAATTATTCGTAGTTTTCCTCGTAAATATGTTGGTTATCCAGAAATTAGAAAATAGAAAAGATAACCGCTGAAATGCTGGAATGAAATAGAAATGCTGAAAACTATTACAAAAGTCTCATTTAGCAATTATTACTAGATGTTGGTGATAAGTAACGACTATTTGGGATGACCATATATTGGGTTATCAGTGTGCATCTGCTTACTTTGTTGCATACGTTTTTATTTTCTACAGGTCCAAAACAAGAATTTTTGATTTTCTTATCAGTTTCCTCAGAGACAGCTAAACGAGCTGTAATGCTATAATTATCTATAATTTAAATTAAAAGTCCGAGTCGAACTAGCGACCCATCTTCACTTTTATTGCCAAGTAATCCTTGCCGAAAAATTTTTCGCACTAGTCTAACTAAAAATCATGAACGTTAATTTGATAATTTCGAAAAATTTTATGCATAGTAAAAATATGTTTGATATGTTTGAGAAAGGTTTTTTTATCAAAAAATTTTAATCATTCATTCCTTCTTTACTTTTCATTCAATTTTTTCCATGTGGAAATAAACGGACAAAATTGCTTCATACTTTAGCCAACAAATATTCTTTCATATTCTTGAAGTTCTTGCTAATTGGGTTCAACTGTGCTTCTATCCTAGTAGCAAGTAGCTTCATTCCATAAATTTTATTAGCGCAAGTTCAGACAAGAGAACGATGGTGTCAGGCGCATTATCAACTTGCCAATACGAACTGATATCCTCTACAAAATATTCACTTAACTTGAGAAAATTTGGAAATAGGATCATTCTCAGGAATATCGCTTCAAATATTTGCAGCCCACCGATATGCTAAATAGCGTGTCAGAAACTGCAGCAAAAATTGGGCTGAGGGTCAATGTAAATAAAACAAAAGTCGTTTCTTCTTATGTACCAGAAGCTGATAAAATGTTTCTTTTTATAAATTCATTGCCGGTTGAGGAAATGCTGGATTTAAAATACCTCCACTCTAATACCAAATAGCCAGGCAAAAGACGAAATTTCAACCTGGATAAAGGCAGTTAGAAATGCAATTTCTTCCGGTTGACGGAACCTTTATGGAACCATCGTGAAATCACCATAAAAATGAAATTCAGCACCTATAAAAACGCTATTCGTTCGCTCTTGCTATATGGCTATATGGCCATTTAGAGTGGAGGATATTAAGAAGTTATCTGCCTTTGACCACTCATGTCTAAGGTATATTTTACGGGTTCGTCAAGTGGAAAAATATGATCGCATTTACCATCGTTCAAATATCACTTGCATTAACAGTACCATCATAGAACATCACTTTTGCTGATTAGGACATGTTCTTCGCCTCCAACTGCAAGATTTGACACATATTTCGTAACTTGCTAAACCCTGTGATGAGTAGTGTTAAAAGCGAGGTGGTCCAATCAAGGACCTGGACTGATAAGATTTTGAACATATAGGTGGACCAGCAATATATGGACGATGGAAAAAGGAATGGTTTCTATTACTGTCGACGATAGCATCAGAACACATACCTTGGAAACGTCTTACCCTTGTTCATCCTCACCAAATATTACTAATTTAACAGTGCGATCTCCATCTTTTTGTGCTTTCAAAAATGGGAATCATTTAATTGACAATTATTATCATAGAAGAAGAATGAGGCAATTAATATCAATTTAGCGATATATGCATTCATCTATAAATAATTCTGTTCCTCAGAAATTTTATAGATGGATTTCTATTGTTTGATTGATTGTTATGCGCAGTTTTTGCCTATACAGTGCTAGGCCAGCTGCTTGACTTTACTGCCCCGACAACACAATAAATATTATAGATGAACCAACGTTTGTCCTTCAAATTTATCTCCTTCCACTTATCGATTCATTTCGCTGTTTTTAAAGCGTCTCTTGTTAACCAAATTCTTCGTATTGTAATTCTTTTGTTTTATAGCTTACAATTTATCTATTTTATAAATATTCATGATTTGAAGTAAACAAAATGAACCATCATCACCTTAAAATTTCCCGGGTGATGCTGGCGATCTACCCAAGTGACTTCCTCGTAAAAAGGCATAGTCGTATAATCTGTGTCGAGTTGATGGCCGAGCGAATTTAACCAGAAATCGTGAGATGGTGAGCGCTAACTGCTGAGAAATGCAAGTGTATATTATGGGAAAAATTCTTCGACAAATATTTTTCATTTATTCAGAAACTAAATAGAGCAAACAAGGGTGCATATTCACTGGTACAAATTTTATTTCACTCGACAGAGATTATTTTATTGATAGCCTCGACTTATAGAAATGTTTTCTAAATGTCACCTTACAAGAATTAGGTGAAATCTTTTTTGGGAAGTCGATTATTTGAACTCATTCTCGTAGATTATCTTTAAACGTAAGTCGAATCTGAAATTCAAATCAAATCAATAGCATTTTGGGTTTATCATTTTCGAAATTTTAACTCTTATTTGCCCTTTTGTGGAAAAGGTGCAGGACTAAGAGAAAAATAGAGTGATTCGAATTCGTTATTGTTTGCCCTCTGTCGTTCGCCAACGAAAGGTCAAGCGAATTTAATTATCTTTTTACTTTCCCGACCTTTCTCTTTGTTGATTATTATTTTACAGTGCATATTGATCGGTTCCATCTATTCAAATGTGATCTAATCATTGATTTATCTTTATTGTCTCATGTTATATTCCATTCTTCGAATGAATTTGCATTTTTTATGTTGATTTTTTATCATTTGCCCTGTTCATTCGAGTAGTCAAATAACTCAATTGAAAAACCCTTTCAGCTTTTTTCTAAAAGCACTCACCATTTCTGGTTTGGTTGACACTACTTACTATTAGAATTCCTTCGCTGAATCAGTTGGGAATAGAAATAATGGAGGATTCTCAACATCACCACTGTTTACTCACTGATAAGTCGATTCGATGCTTGACCTACATTGAACACTCGGTTATCCTGGTTATCCTCCTTATTCAATCGATTTCCCAGACGATAAGTCTGCATTCAATAACGATAAGTTTCGTCATTTTCCATTACTTATTCCCTGCTGTGTATTACTTGGTTAGCTTATGATGGATTCATGCGCAAGTTATCAGTCTAATGAATATTTAATCTTATTTTTTAACTTTTCTTCCATTATAATTTCCTTACTTTTCGGGTTTTCATGTTTACAGTTTCTTTTTTTTCGTTCTGGAACTATGTAGAATTTAATTTCGCACAGATTCATTCTCAATTTGTGCCTTTAAAATTAATTTTCAATTTTTATTCCAAGGAGTCTCCGTATAATAGGAGTGTTTAATAACTTCGATATTTTTATAGTATTTTCTTATTAAATTTAAATTTTATTAGAATAAATTTTTAATAGGATTGCTAGGACCGAGTTATTTATTAAATTCATAGATTATGGTAATAGATTTGGCTCCCATTCTCTTGTGAAATCCTGGTAGTGGTGGGTATTTGCACGCACTTACATCTTCAACGGGTTCTCTAAGCTTACAGTCAACAGAGTCAACCAAATCAGAAATAATTATTACTGCCAGACGAAAAACGACGACTTATATTTTATTTAGTGTTCTCGATCTTTTAGTGGTCCTCCACCTTTTGCATCTTTTGATAAATGAAAAACTGCCAATGCAACTGATAGTTTCTTATATGAAAATAAGGAAATTAGTTCTGTATATAATTAGTTGTTGACCAATGCGTTAAACAAAAATTGTTTGCTAACAATTACTGTAAAATCTATAGTGTTTTTCCCAAAATGAAAATTCTTCCAATGTCGAAGAAAAAATTAACTAATTTTTAAAAAAAATGGCTAACTGACTAAAGGAAATACTTTGAATGTCATGTACATTACGCTTTTTTTCTATAAAGACCCCTCGGTCGGACTAGCTCCGCTGGTTTATCAGACCAGGAAATTTGTCAGGGAGTCACTTGTCGGTAGCTTGAAGAAAGGTTTACTCTTTCTGGAAATAGAAACGCAGCTGAAACGGCTGAAAAATGAAAAGGTTTATTTAAATGGTATTTAAATTCCAGGCGCCCAAATTTTCCACATAAGGCAAATTTTAAGGCAAATTTATGGGTTAAAAATTTCATTTCACTTAATTTTCACTTTACTTTCAATTTTCACATAAATTTCACTTAATTATTTCACTTAGTTAATCTTTTCATCAATAAATGAATTAATCTAGAAATTGAAATATACTTTCATTGCCGCTTTGCTTATGGTTGTTCTAAAGTCTTCGCCATTTCGAAATGCCGTTGTATTCATACATGTGCTTAGTTATTTCTCATAGATATTATCCATAATCGCTAGGAATGCGATCCAAGAAAATAGAATTTTGAATCTTGATTAAAAGAAAGTTCCAGGTTCCATTTTGCAGACTTTGTTGGCGGTATTTCCATACAATTAATATGAGAAGAAGGAGCGATAGTTATTTACATCGAAGGTATAATATTTAATATAATTTGTAATCGGAAAATTCAAGCATTTTCTTCTCTTCATTATTAAGTCTTTTTGCAAGAAAATCAAAAAAACGAGACAATAACGTTTTGTGGTGAAAGAACATCGTGAAATTCCCAACTGGTTAGCGGTTTTGTAATTGCTGAACTAGATAAAATTTGAATTGAAAGCAAGTTTTTCTTATATTTTTTATGAGAAAAACTTTAGTGAGATATGAACCGAATCAAATTTTAAGAATAATCAATGATTAAATAAATCTTTGAGTTGTTTTTTTTTTGCATTTGCAAATTTTAGTCTCTTTCAGAACCAAAAATTACGAGGGAATTTCGGACCAGGATTCGTCAGACTTGCAACGAGGCTTGTTTATCCTTTTTTTAAAAATATATCCAAGGAATTAAAACTTAATTGCTTTTCTTTTGAGATAAAACCAAATATAATGCACTGAAGTAAAAGTTTTGTTTTTATTTTTTATTTGACTTCATACTTCGAAATAATCTGGTATTTTGTTTAAAGGTAAAGGTAATGAAAATTCAAAGCCATTACTCCAAATTTTTCGGAAGAAAAGTGCATCTACAGAACTGGCTTTATTGGAGAATGGATTACAGGAGCTTTCATTAACCAGGTTTTTGTGCTGAAAGTATTTTACCAGACCAACGAATTTTTATGATGGCTATTTAAGCTTGGAAGTTTTCATTGAATAACTGGATTATTATTGACATTTGGATTAAATATTAAGATCAACTATCATTTTAATCATTCATTAATTTTACACCACCATCCCATCTTTGATAATATTTCCTCTCGCGATTTTATCCCTGTTATTCTGTGATTATTTGTAATTTTTAGTAAGTTTACGTCAAAAATAGCGGAAACACAGCAAAAAGCACTAAACACTTTGACTGAATGGGCCAAATCATCACAAAACGCTGCTATTGATGATGTAATGCAAAATACCAATGAATTATTCCGATTATTTTCCGAAAAGCAAATTCGTTTTGCACAAGATTACAACCATTTTTTGCAGGTAATTAATTATATTTAAAAGATAAATGAGGTTGAGCGAAATTTTTTTTTGGAGAAATATGGATTACTGGATATGTCTTGTGTACTAACTCACATTGTTAAGAAAATAACCCATTAGGAAAAAAAGAATAATTTGGGAGTAGTTCTAAAAAAATTAGAACAATTAATATCAACTAGAAAGCATTAGGAATAACGATAAAATTGAACAACCAGTCGGTCGTCGTCGGGTTTTTTATAGTTGTATGAATTATTTGATTTACGGCGATTCTTGGGAAAAGTTTGTAATAAGTTTAAGGACTAATTGAAAATTTCTTCGCTTCAGCAGTTAGAAAAAATCGTTGAAGATGAACGCGAAATTACAAAAGCTGAACATCAAGTTAACATCTTGGAGGAAAAAGAGAGAAAACTTAGAAAGGAAATTCAAAAAAGACCATCCTTCTTCAGACGCGGTGGAGATATTTTTCTCCTGAGGCAAGAACTTGACAAAGTATATGAAAATCATTTGCAAAAATCTTTTTCAAGCTCTTTTTCTACTTTTTTTTGAATTATTTTTGGAACTGACAAAAATTTGAGTGGCTCTTTCAAATTATATTAGGACAGATCAGTGATTAGAATGAAATCAATGGTTCAGGCTTATGTGAGTCAAAATAAGGCGGTCAACTTGTGCGGCAGTTTAAGTTTCAAAGCCTTGTAAGCCTTGTAAATCTCCAGATATTATGTATAAAAAACAAAGTTCACACATGATAGGAAAAAATAAGTTAGACATTCTGTATGTAGATTCATAAAAGTAGATTTTAATATATCTTTTTATGTGGTACATTTTTCATCATAGCAAAATCTAGTTTTCATGAAATAATTATGGATTTCTGTTAGGTGATTGCCGACAAAGAGAAAGCAAAGCGTATCTTTGGTGAAACTCGCGCAGAAATGGAAGTGATCAAGATGTTCAGATTCAGAAAAGGGATGCAGGTAATAACTTTTCTTCTAATTACATTCGCCATTTCTGGTTTGGCAGATTCCACTGGCTGTTAAGTTGAGACTCTTTCGCCAACGATTCATTTGACGATAGAAGTACAGTAGGGTCCTCAACATCATCCGATTCACTATTTGAGGATTTACTGTTAATGAGCAATTTTCTTCCATCAGTGTGCAATGATGTATCTTCTTTGCAGAAACATATCACTTATCCATTCCGTCCCCTAATTTGAAGTTATTAGTTTTAGTTTGCTAACTAGCTCACCATTCCCTGTTGCACCTACTGCGTGGTAAGAAATTATGCTAAAGAGTTATTATTATTATTATAATATTATTATTATTATTACTATTATTATTATTACTATTATTATTATTAATAGAAGTACAAGTGAAACGCTAGCAAAACCCGGATTTTTTAATAACATCTTTATTTACCAAGATCAGGCTTAACGATTTTTTTAGGGCATTGCTGATTCTTACTGCAGTTTGGCGAATAAATGTCATGCAGTGTTTACTTGCCATCGCGAGATTACAGAGCTTGTACCAGCCATATCAGAGCAAGATGTTCAACGAATGGTTTATGATGGGATGCACATTGCTCGTGAGCGTGTTAATAATCTCAGAAGGTTCATGCTTTATAAAAATAATTCATTAAGAATCTAGAAAATTAGAAACTTTGCCATCTGTAAAACATTTCTATTAAATCAAAAAATTTTTTTTTATTCATGCTGTTGAATTTGTTGACATTTTATCGCAAAGCATTGACAAAAATATTTATACTGCAAATTTTCTGTACTTCATGCGATTATCAACAAGCTTTTTCTTTCCAAAAAGAATCACAAATCTTTTTTTTTTCATAAAATTAAACTAGTCTTCCTATAGATCGCTAAATAGAATAACAAGCACAGATAATTTGCGTCAGTCGATAAGACCAGCTAAAAGAAACGAACCATCCCATCGTTTGCATCGTAATAGTTTCCCATCTCCACCTCCACCATATTCTACTTTAGAACAAAGTCTGTCATCAAACCGAAATAATCAGGTTAGAATCTTTACAGATAGCCAGAATCTCTAATTTTTTTCTTTAGAATTCTATTTCACTTTCCCATCAAGTTTGATTAAACTGTAATTGACGTAATTACAACTTATATCTTTTAAATATGGAAAACATGGATGCCCACAAATGCACCGGAGCTCTCAGATAGCCAGAGCACTGAAAATGCATCTGAAACCATAAACGACCATGTTTGGGGCCATAAACGATACGTTCCCCATGCTTCATCTCAGGTTAAATTCCAGCTTTTTTTTTGTCAAGTTTTCTTATTTAGTGATAATTTATAATTTAGACTTCGAGCAAACTTCATAAAGGGATGCACAGCTATTCTTTTCCACTGATTCAGCGTTTATACCCGAAATTGCCAAAGAATCCATATCTTGTCATGAAAAAACAACATGCCAGTGGTTTGATTCCTAAACCTCCACGCATGTGATCGCAAAACTTTTTTTTTGGTTTAAACTGGCAATATCATACTTGTCTAATTATTTTCATTTATTTTCACTCGATTATAGTAAATCTCGTGCAAATCTAATATTTATTTGCATTTGTATTCATAAATAGTTATTTTAAATATTTATTTTAGTATGCAGTATGCTTTTACGTCCAACATACACATATTTTTGCAATGTGCAATGTAAACTTTGTCTGATTGTGTATAGATAATGTATGGTTATATTTTTGCAGAAAGAAATATATGATAAATTTTTAAACGAAAATTTATGCATGGTTATTTCTCTACGATAAAATTCGTTCAGAAAAGTTGGTGGGACAAATTTTTGTTATAATAATTGGTTTTGCTTTTAATCAAAGTAAATTACAATACGGTATGAATCAGAAACAATGTGCAATTTAGGATGGATAAGTTATGGAAACAAAATTAGATTTGCAGTAACACTTGAATCGAGCCGAAGTCTCGACTTGCAATTTTACTGAAAATTCCAGATTGGTAGAAAAAAAGAAAAAATGTCTAATAACAAAAAATTTAAAGAAAATTTCAAAGTGAAAATGTTAAATGATGATAAAAAATTAAATTCATCTAGCCATTCGATTCGATCTTTGCTCAAATTATAGGAGCCAATGTATAAAGTACCACGAATCAAAAACATGGAATCATAGTTAACGACAATTCAAAATTCCTTCCCTTAAATTCTTCAATATATGGTTTTTTGGCTTTTCGAACATTATTTAGGCGAAGGAAGTTCACAGCAATTTAATCATACATTAGCTTGAATTAATGGCACAAAGTTAAAATAGTTAAAATAGTGAAAAATATACAATGTATTGACTTCGTTTTCAAAATAAATTACTGCAATGTCATTGGCATGGCAAGTTTTAAGTTGATAGTAATTGTCAATCAATTGGCAACGCAATGGAGTTACTATTTTAAATTGACCACACTAATGTAGTGAACACCGTTCGTTGCATAAACCCAAGCCATTTAACAATTAAAATTACAGATAATGAAAAATTGTAAAGCAGAGATTCGATGAAATTACCACTGAATTTGCCTGTAGCAGTAGATCAGTCATAAAACATCTGACACATACCATAAGAGCTCGATGACAAAACAATAACTATGATAGGAGTGGTGGTAAAAATAAATACAAATCACAACTGTTCACGTAAAAATAGTCGTTATACATTGCATGACCCGTGCTTATCGCCTATTTTGTTTAACGTATTTGCTTTGAAAGATCCAAAACCTCTTCGAGGTCCAACACCATAGTCAACGGATTTTGTTCGACCAACTGTTTTTTTGGCTGTAAGCGGTAATGTATCAAAATGTGGCCCGTGACCTGAACTACCATTTGATGATGCTGCTGAGCTTGAATCCGATCTGTAATCTTATCTAAAAATTTGGAAAAAGAATATTTAACATTTGGGACAAACAAGTTGTTGAAATAATTGAAATATGCAGTCAGTATAAGCGTCACTGATATGAATGTCTTAAATATTTTATAATAGCAGTAGAACGAACCTACAAATATGTTTTTAAATAACTACCACTGTAATTTCGAAACAACAGAGCACTAAGAAAATTCAGGAGACATCGCGAATCTTATTTACCATCTTTGCTTTTGATTTATTTAATAAGAAGATTATTTAGGATAAAACTTATCTTAATAATTAGATTATGAGACGAACTTCTGGATGCGAGCATTTGTTAAAGGAGTAATCATTTATCAACGTATTAACACATATGGTAATGCGCCTAATGAATGAATTATATTGGGAAAAGAGATTTAAAAAAGCAGTACATCCTATATTCACCATTTACCAACAATGAAGACAGACCGCAGTGAGAATGCTGAAGAAAACAAAATTTGAATTTTTCAATAAACACTCGATTCCCGAACCAGAAAAAAATAATTGGAATGATGATGAGGTACTAAAGAAAACTTCTAACACTGTCGATATGAGTGAGTCACATTGTCCATCTATGCTGTTCTGCCGATTAGAAAGTCCTTCATATAATCTGGACGTTGAACCAATTGGTCTTGAAGATGACAATAACACTGCTGAATTGTTGAATCGTATTGGCGATTTCTTAAAAAAAACTTTCGATATTTATTAAATATGCAATAGTGGATCCCCTGAAAAACCAAACACGAAGTATATAAAAAGTCACTACGATGATTATGTGAAACTATAATTTTAGCCTATAACCTACTGATCAGTTCAACACTATCTAATAAATTATACAACCTTTTGATCATTTTGTTTACTCCATTTGATTATTTTGTAGGCGACTACCATTGCTGCAACAGCAAGCAATAAAAAGGAAGCCAAACATAGCCCATATAAAAGTGTATTCGTTGTCGTTATACCATTACCGTTCTCAAGCAATACCGAATGTGGCCGACTTCTTTCGAATTGTCGCCATGCATCATCTGTAAGTAATGGTAAGGAATTATGAGAATAATGACTCTGTCATGTGCCAACATGAGTTCAGTTCCTCTCCTAGACAGAAGTGAACTTGCCATCAGAAAAACCTAAGTGGTGCTGGCCACTTATCTATACTTCACCAATTCTCTGACAATATCACTATACTGCCAGCTAGTGCATAAGTCTAACCGAAAATACTGGAAGCTAACGGTTCAGTTTTTACTTGCCAACTTGATAACTTAAATTAAAAACTGAATGAAGGGTATTAAAGCGTTTTTAATCCAGATACTGTATGAAATGGATGCCTTCTTTTCTTGAAGTAATTTTTTTTACCTTTACATATCGGACAACATTGATCCTGCACATGCACAGGATCATTGCAGAATGCACACTGATGTTCTCTACAAATCGTTCTACCACCATTCTGACAAGTGCAATTACGACATGGTCCATCGTGCCATTCTTCATTCAGGCTATATGCATTTTTCTTATATTTGCATATTGGAGTAGACGACAATGTATCTGGAATAAAAAGTAAAACCTTTCGAAAAATTATATTAGCCAAAAGTGTTCGATTAAATGTGTTTAAACCATATGATTGTAAAGATGTTACTTAATTCATTCACTAAATCCTTACTTTTTTTCGCTTGGGACAAATCTAATAGCACTAAAGTAGTCGTATACCAAAAAAAATTTCCCATTCCGAATACATTTTGAATTATTTTTGTCCCAAGCGAAAAAAAGTAAGGATTTAGTGAATGAATTAAGTAACATCTTTACAATCATATGGTTTAAACACATTTAAATGAATTATTTTATACCATCTAAGAGTCCAATTACTGGTTAAATTCACTCCACTGGCTTGTCACATTGGGCAATATGCCAGGGAGTCCTTTGACGATAGAAATACAGATAAGTCGCCAGCATCACCCGGATTTCTGTACAGGTTTACTCCTGCAGAAAGCAGAAGAACCTCACCCCCTCAGTTCTAAATTATTACAGAAACACAACAATTATCATGCGGATATATATAATACTAAAGAATGAAATGAAAAAAATTTTGATTACTGATGGGCAAGAAAAATAAGGTTATAAAATCAAGATAGTAGATTTTCTTTTGATAACTTCTCTTTTGCTGGAATCACGAAAGTTAAAATTGTAGCACAGAGTACTGAATATTGTTGAGTATTTCATATCCGATTTCTAATAAAATGAAACTTTAGATTTCTAGGAAAAAAGATTGGATACTACAGTTCCATTGTATTTTTGATATCACATCTACTCATTTCATGGAACCACCTAAATATCAGCACTGCTTCTAATCTATTTATAATTTTATTACAATTCCATTAAATAAAGACCTGAGCAAACTGGACAACATCGTCCTTTGATCATCAACGGTAGACCAAGACAATTTTCTTGTGTTGCGCACTTTTCCTCGAAACACTCGATTTTTGGTTCTCCTTTATTGAAGATGCATCTGTGATATTTAATTTGAAATCAGTAACAATTTTTCGATTTAACCATTAATATGAAACAAAAAAGTTGATAGTAATGAAATAAAATCCTTTTGAATTTATTACGCTGAAGACGTTTCCCATTAGCAACTTTTTTTACGAAATTTGGAACATGGAATGAAATTATCATTATTTACACCAGCAACAACTTTTTGACTGGAATGAATATAAGTATAATAATGCACCTGCAAGAAGTGCATTCATTTATTCTCCAACTGGTATTTTCCGCATGCACAATATGATTACTGTCTGTGCAAACGGTACTAACACTTCCTGAACTTTCTTTTGCATAATTTAATACTGGACATCTAAAAGAAATAAATCATAAGTTTACAGTTAATATGTTTCAAAATAATGGCATTATTTTGAACTCAAAGCAATCTGAAAAGCAAAAAATTCACAGAACCACAGATAAAAAATTCAAAAAATTAGGACCAATTTTCCGGAGTTAATAAAAGTAACAGAAAATAAAAAATGTTTCGCTCCTTTTTTGACTATTTCTGCTTACTTCGGACAACACTGATTACTGGGATCGAAAACAGGTTCGAGACATGCAATTGGAGGACATTCGACAACTCTGCACAATATATTACCAACTCTACATGTACACGATATACATGAAGCCAACTGCCAAGTTTCTCCGTCAACAAAAAAGCGACCAGCGCTCTGACATACTGTGTGTTCAAACTTTGTTGGTAAAGACGAAGTCTCGCATGATGCACAACAAGCTCCTGTAATGCTTGATATATAACTATTATTATTATATTGATACAACTATTATTTAATTACATTGAAAATAGCCAAAAGAACCACAGTATAAAAGCGGTAAACCTTTAAGTTTTTTAAGAATCAGTTTTTATTTTATATACAATATTTTATATACAATTTTACAAAAATTTTCAATATTTTTAAAGAGCCAATATTTCCGAAATGTCTTTAAAAATAGTGTGCAGGTATTCAAATATTCTTTCGGATCTACTCAACGAATCTTGTTTCCAGCAAAAAATTCCTTCATCGAAGCATAATTTCAACTTGCCTTCTCTTTTTTTCCATTTATCGATGGGGCAAGAAGGATCACGTTGAGGACAAGAAATCAGTGAACAGAATTCCTAAAAAAAATTTCTTAACACAGATGATAACGAACGATAATTTTGTAAGATTTAACGTTTATGAAAATGAAGCATTGAAAATCTGCATCCAATAAGGAAATGAATCATCATTTTATTAGCCGAAAAGGAACCAAACTCCTAACAAGTAATTTATCATTCGGATTTAATTTTGACCTTTATCAACTAATTTATTTTGTAAATTAAGCTCAGCTTTTATTTAAGTTGTTTAAACATAAACGAAAAATACGTTGGTCAAGAAACTATAAAAAAAAAGAAAATGTAGCGCAGGCCTGACATGTTTTTGTTCACAAAAACAGTGCCGACATCCATCATTCCACCATTCACCACTGTCCCTTTCAATAAGTCGACCTGTTCGTGTGCTAAGTGAAAAACACTTGTCCCATCCTTTTTTTTCGCTCGATAGTGATAATAATGTCGCGTCAATACGACTCATCGCTAAAAAATTTGTCAACTCAATTTAATTTTAAGTCAAATTCTAATTTTCGCAAAACTATACTGCCTTCTTACAATATTAGTAAGAAGATGAAGAAAGCCGATTTGAAGCAATTGAAATTATTTTTTTTTGACGAATATAATTGTAATTTCGATTAATACACTTCTTGAAAGTATAATTATAAATAATATTCATGTATAATTATAAATAATATTCATGTTCATTATGTTCGACATGTGACCAATTAAAAAGGAGAACAATGATATTCACAACCAATTCGTGACAGCGAAAATTTCCTCATTGGATAACAATTTATTTTGTTGAAATATGTGTTTTTTCAATGATACTAGTAATGGATTTATGAGAAATGAGAAAATGCCAAAATTTGAAAAACAGTGATAATTCATAAAACTGCCAGAACATAACTTAAGACTTTTCGGTAAATGTAAACATAAAATTAACAAACCTCGACATTTACAGACTGGACACCCGTAATTGTTATTTTCGAATCCATACAAACAATGCTTATAGCACTGATGTAACGGTGGACATTTTGCGCATTTACAAATCGTACATCCTTTCTCATTGTGCAAATAGCCATGGGCACAAATTCTAAAAACAAAAATTTAAGAGAAATAAAAAAATTGGTTTCTGTAATGCTATGGGCGCAAGGAAGATGGCTAAATGGATAGTGGACCAGACTGTCGTGCTGAGAGGCTAGGGTTAAGTTTTCGCTCTGGATAGGACTAAACCTACCATCAAAAATTCTGAGTTATGCTGACCACACCTGCACTTCTATCGCCCAGTGGCTAGAAAAAATTTCTAACTGTAGTATAAAGCATCTGAGTCAGTCAACCAGAAATGGCGACTGATAACCATTTCACTTATTTAATGCAGTTTATACAGAATGCTGGAAAATGTTGGAATGCCATATATGCTTCACTGCTAAATAAAAAAATAAATAAGTAGACCGTTTTTACAAATCGCCCTTTCGCACTAATTTCGAAACTTAATGTTGCTGATAGGTGCAAAAGAAAAAAGAAAGATATGGAAAATAAACAAAATTGACTTATCACAATTTCCTTCACTTAGTGGAGGGCAAATTATATTAACAGGCTTTTCAACTGGCGCACACATGCACTGAAAACATCCGTGTGAATCTCGAATCAATCCATTCTCACAACGTAATGGACAGTATTCTAGTGATGGGCATATCGCAGGGTTTATTATTATTGTTGGTTCTAAAAAAAATTCGGATTACTTTGAAAATCCAAAATGAAATACGTTTCGAACAGTTACTTTTTCACGTTAAGCCAGAAAAAAAAAGAAATTTTACCGTCACACACAGGACAACACTGTCCTGGGATTTTCCTAGGCCGATCACACTCAACTTGACACATATGCTTCTGACAATACTGTGTTCCATCAGAACCGCAAGTACAACTAGGATAAAACAATTACTGGGATTCAAAAATATAATACAAATTATCTACATCCATTAAAAGATAATGGGCGACAAATCAATTTTCCATGCCAGATAAATGATGTTCCAAAGCGGGATTAAGACGTGACTTAGAAATTGTAAGAATTCCTTATACTATAGTTATACCATAGCATAAAAAATTAATAACGTGTACCTCGTACAATCATCTTTCTGCCATGTTTCATTTTTCTTACGCTTCTCGCCATCTGTCTGACATCCCAAACATACTGGGCAACATTCATTCTCAGGTATCCCAACCCAGGTGCAGTGAGCTAAACATAACTGAATAAAAAACTTTATACCAATTACCATAAGAAATGTTAAAAATTTAACTTCTTTTCTGCAATTCATAATACAATTCGCTGGTATCATATTTGTTATTTGTTATTTTGCCAGTTACAGGTTTTAGAAAATACTTTCTAGTTTTGATAGGATCAGTCAACTTGTTCCACTCGCAGCTAATCCTGTCATTATTTACATAAAAGATGCTTCATCACTATTCGCTATTACTATTAATTTAATTTCAAAACTGATATCTTCACTGAATATTACATACCGATTTACATAAAAACCAAAATCGTATAAAATATGCAATAAAAGAAATAAAAGAAATAACAAGGTGGGCTGGCACAAGTCATTTTACTGCATAGTGCGATTCCGCCCTTACATTTACATATATCGCAACTGCTTGAATGCCACAATTGGCCATCATCATAAAATTCATCACCATATGGGCATCGTTTTACTTCATTTTCTGATATTTTACCATCTGATTCACAAGCAATAAGGTCGCAGCATCGACCAGGAGTTCCATCTCCTAAGATTTCTTTTCCTTATTACATCCAATAATGAAATATCTGCTTCTGAATGTATTTTTGGACACTGCTGTGATTAATTTCATGAGGAAAAAACTTCACAGTATCATGCTTCAGTTGCAAAAACTATTATATGACGACAATAAAATTTGTGCTCCCATGAAATAATTCGTAATTATCTTAAATATAGCTGAAAAAATAAATGACTTTTATACTTTTAGAGGCAAATCATTTGCTGTACGATCCAAATGAACCAATAAGTTATAACGAAGTATTAGGTAATTTTAATAAATTCATTGCCTTTATTTTCCTTATTATTATTAATTTTCTGCGGCTAAAGGATTTCTTCGCAAATGAGTAATTTTTCACGATATTTTTAATCTTACCATGAACATTTAATAATTAAATTTTAATCACAAGTTAAAAATGATTGAGTATTTTTTAAAATAGAAAATTTTTCCCAATAAAAACCTTTCCGCAATATTTTTATCCGTTCGCCTTGAGGACAACGAGCTGGTAAGCATATTGATGCACGACACCGACATCTGAATTAATCATGATATGGCATAAGCAGGAAAAATAAAATTTGGTATTAATTGACGAATGAAAAATAACCTACCCTGGATAAACGGGACAGCAATTTCCCGCTGGAACGTAACTGGCAGCTTTCACGCTATCAGGTGGACATTCCTCATTATCGAATACATTGTCCTTTTTACACTTGACATTTTCGCAGTGAAGCTCTGAAAGAAGAAAAGCATTAAAGATGCCAATAAAAAACAGAAAAGCAACAAAAAATTTAGATGGATTCATACAATTTATACTACTTCAAACTAACTGCCTCATTATTTCAACAACGCTTCATTACTTCTCGTGTTTGTGCGACCATTTTTTTCACAAAATTTTAAAAAAAAGATAAGATTATTCGTTGTTATATGACGAAAAATAAAAATCAAAGAAATTAAAACATTTTTCATAGGAATGATATCAAAAATTTCTTTTCACAATTTAAATGATGAACAAGGGTTATATAAAACCATTGCGAAAATCAATTATTTATGGAATTTTTCAAAATTTACTAAAATACGGAAATGAAAAACGTGGAAAAAATTGGAACTGAGACTATATTGTTCAAAATGAATTCAAAATGAATTTTTGATGTTAAATAAATAGAGATATGAAGTTTTTTTGAAATAAATTTAAAATATTTTCGATATGAATAATAATGATAACTGTGTGAAGGGCAAAGAACTAAAAGAACTAAATTCTTCGAACTGTAATCCATATTTTTAAAGTATAAAAAAAAAAGCTCTAAAAAATAGTGCGTCAAATACAATTGCTTATTCAAAAATAATTAATTCGAAATTATAATCGAGTATAAATATAGAATACACTGAATGAAAAATTAATGAATAGCGAAAAAATTTACCCATCAAGGCTGAGCCGCAAAAACTGATATCAGTGATATAAATTTATCTCAGCTAAATAAAATTATTGATTCAAAGAAATTCATCAGAAAAAGCAGATTCAGTGTTTATAACTATGTAACGGAAAGCAACCAAAAAACTATCAACAATCAGACTGAATCCTAAAACACCTATCATCAGCATTCTTTTTCCTTTCTCTTACAAGCACGCATCCTTTCTAGTTTGCTTAATCCCACTGGAATATATATTAAGATGACCTTCGCCAGAAAGATACTTAGGAAAAGAAGTATAGTTGGAGCTTCAAAGCAATCCGGATTTCAATTTTTATGATCTTAATGATTTGCTTTCGTTAACCGACCAAAAATCAAACATACCTAACGCTCAATTTCAGTCAAAATGACACTCAGTCATATTGTCCATAATAACCATTATAAACGTTTAGAGATTATGAATTATTATCAGAATTTTAGCTCAAAGAATGGATCTCCTCGTAGACATTCATTTCATTTCAGTACAGAAAAAATCATATTTCATAAGGTAACATGACTATGATGATTTATCTTATCTTACTTACACTTATCTTATAAAAAAATTTTTTAAAGAAACATCGACTAGATTTTAGAAATAGAGTGAAATGATAAAACGATTTCATTTGCTATATAACATAAATTACCTCGTCTTTCACATTTGAACTCATCACAACAATGGCCAGGTTCTGATATTCCTTCTTTAACAAGAACTCGTTCTAATCCGCCAGCGCAAGTCGGTATCCATGGGTAACATTTCTTAAATAGACTTTTTTGATATCAGCGAATTAATTATGACCACTACCAAAAATGAATGCAATAGAAAAAGATTTCATCATGGATAAAACATTATGGCTAATTATTATTGTTTATTACCGAAGAGCATTTTAATTACAAGCTCATCACGATAAAAATATATGCCATCTGCTTCTGACCACGATATTCAGAGAACCATCATTAATCTAGAACTGCGGAATAGAGTTAATGGGGAATAGAAGTCAAGGAATAACAATTCATTGAATATGGACTAATTTTTATTCAGTTATTATTGTCCCATTTTGGTGGTAATATTGAGAATATATAATCAGAGCAACACTAATAAGAACGATAATTTAATAACATATTAAAACTTAAATATTAATAACATTAGTTATCAATATATATCAATATCAATAACAGTTTTAATAACATATTAAAACTTAAATATATTTACCTGCATATCACACTGACATTGGCCAGGCGGTGAACAACACTCGCCAGGTGGAGGAAGCGGTACAACTAATCGAGAGTCCTCTGGACATTTGTTATGATATACCATATCGCATTTGGCCTTTAGACAATCTTCTGGCCACATTGCTGAAAAAAATTATGAAACAATTGCCTTTTATACATATTGTCCTATATTGCAATCATATCATTTGTATATCCTTTATCACACAGAGAAAAACATTTAAATTATTATTTGTTGATATATTATTAGAGAATTCAAAAATTCCTAAAAAAATTCTCAAGACTTTTGGATTTTTGAAAATAAAAAAATAAGCTTCACATATCGATTTCATCAAGATTTGTACTAACCAATATTGTACTAGATTGCTTAATATGCTAAACTTGAAATGACATAAAAGTGTTGCTTCACCATTAAAATTCCGACGAATAAATTTATCAAGAGTTCAGAAATTCCATTTGACCACAATTATAGAGAATGTTAAAGTTGCGAAAACCTTCAGGATTTTTCCAAAAAAAAGATGGATTAATATAAACAGCAATAATAACTAAAAATAACTAAAAACACAATAACACAATAAACACAATAATAACTATAAATATTTTTTTTCGATCCATATGACCTGTTCGAATTGCAGTTAAAATTCAAATTTTTCATGCTTTCAAGTTTAACAATTTGTCAACTACCAACGACTCCGTACTTGCGAAAAAACATTTTCATTATCATAATTCATTATCATAATTTGCATTAGGATTCTACAAAACTAAACAAAACGAAGATCAGAGTCGAAGATCATAAATTATTACAGTTCATTTTCAAATTATGGGATATTTATGAGTTTATGGCAGTGTTTTAAAAATGAAACATCTGATAATAATCGGCAAAATGTGATAAAAACGTGCCAAATCCAACGAAAGATATTGGGTCGTAGATTTTCAAAATTGACTCATTGTTTTAATTGATCATTGACTGCTATTTTTAATTTTGTTTCAAAAACTGATCCCTCAGAATAAACCTATTTATTCAGAGGCATATCTTTTGAAAGGTTATATTTTTCATGCATATAATTTTGGAGTTATAAATTAGGATTATGGAGTTAAATAAACGAATGTAATTTATGAAATAAACACTGAAAGCTAAAAGTTGCTGCAGTGGTAATGGAGAATGTAATGAATGGCTATTTACTTTTTTTTTACATTATACGCCTGGCAATTAGCGCTTATTGTTAGCGAAATAAACTGTGCTAACAAGGAACTAAAGAGAACAAATCTAGCATCATTACGGTTTTATTTTATTTTATCTTGCCCATTTTTGCTTCAACTGCTCAAAAACCCTAAATGAAATCAAAATCCAAATCTAGCATAGTAATTTGTCGAGGTAGTGAACTGCTGCAGCTTCTGCATCTATATCTATATAATTTCACCACTTACCAACGTCAGAAAATAAGATTAAAATGTTTTGTGAGTATGGATCATATTTCATTTATTTATTTCTTTATAGAATTTTGTTTATTAAACCATTTCAAGATATGAACAAATCAGTGGTGGACATTAGGGATATTAATGAGAAAGCTAGTAAATAGATGATTTCAAACAATTTCAAATAAAATTTGACCACTTATCAGGACTTCGACCATATTTCAATAAATAATTGCATTTAATTTCTATTTTGCATCACGAAGATAGGACAGCCGAGATTATCACGCCAGGATTTGAAGCCTGCTTTCAGCACGAATAGACCAAAAAATCTAGCTGATGTTGGCGATCCATTGGTAAAAAATGCCCAATCGCACAAGCTAATGAGCAAACCCAACCAGAAATGCTGAACCATTTACACAGTGGTATTCGATGCAGAAAAATTAATGAAAATGATCAAATTTAGTAGCTAAAAATTACTAAATTGCATTCTATATTAAAGAAGTGAAGCTAAATTCTGAAATGGAAGTTGTGAAAATATTAAATTAGCTACTAAATTTTTTTTTGAAATAAAATAATCATTATATTTCATAAATTGCACAGATTATAAGAATCATAATGGAAAATACATTTTCACCGAAGAAAAACACATTTTTCATTGGTACTTGTGATATTACTTGTGACAAAACTGCATCTCTTTTACTCTATTCTACAAGATTCTAAGACCCATCATTTTCACCTAATATTTTGTCGCGGAAAATCAAAATTTCAGGAGAAAATCATTAATTTTTTTATTATCCTAAATAATTTCCCGAGTATAAAAAAATATATACTATTTTAAATTAACAATGAATGAATCGCAAACAACTTTATGCATATTATTCGCCATATATTTCTTATTTATCTACAATAATTTAACGAATATATAAGCGGTGCTTAGCTATTTTCTTAAATTTTTATCGCATTTTATTTCATTATAAAACTTTCGTTTTGACAGATGTGCAATTATCAAAAGAACTGGCTATTAAATACTACATAAAAGCAATTAATTACAGAATGATTTGCTCGAAGCAATTAGGAATAATTATCGCTCATGCTAGTTTAGCCTGTTAAAAATTGTTTAGGAATATGAAATAGTAGCCTCAATATTTGCTCGTAAAAATATTATTTACAATGGAAAACATGATAATCCAGTGCAAAACTATTCATATAATTTTAACCATTTATGGCAAAGTAAAGAAACCGTTCAAGAATCTGAAGTTCGCGCTCATATGTCAAGGGAAGAGATATATTCTATCATGACTTTGGTTATTTTTTAAAATGATGTATAAGACAGAAACCAATGCAGTAAAACGACTTTTAATTTCAAATAAAGTGAGATTATAGGAAATGTAACTACGCGCACAATTAATTTTAGAATTCCTTCAAGCAACATTTAACACAAACTATGCAACGAATAAGATCTTTAGCAATATATTGAATTAAATTTTAGAATGCAATCCTCTTTAACAAATTCTTAAATAAAAATTAAGCAGTTTCAATATTAAATGAACAAAAAAATTTCATTTATATGATGCATATAAAATCCTGTTAAATTTTTCATTTATATCGAAATGATGAATCTGACTAGTTCCCACCGTATAATAAAAATCGTTCGTTATTTTACAAATGCCAAAAAGTAAAAGATCAGTGCTGCACTGAAACTTCATGATTTACAAGCCATAATTACGATAACCTTACGTCGTGATAGACTGAGAATTAGGAAGATTCTTAGAAATGGCAAAGAACATTAAAAATAAGGCAAATAAAGTATAAAATAAGGTTTAACCTACCAACACATATGCCAGAATCAATGTTCGGATCATCTTGTCTGCATCGCAAATTTTCCTTGCAAATACCAATACCGGAACCGCACGACTCATTGATAAATCGTATACATATAGGACAACAATCGCACGGATCGTAGATTACTTCCGTACAATGTGAAACTTCGGGACATTTTTTCGTGCACTCTATCGAGCAATTCACTTTTCCATTAAAATATTGAGACCATTGAAGATGATAAGCTGATCTGATGACTGCTGACAATGCCGGCATGAACATTAAATTTAGAAAGAGAAATAAAATATTTCGGAGATACATTACCCGTCAATCGCCAAGACGAAGCCTCTAGAGGCCCGACGGCGAGTTGAGTGAATAAATTCAGTTGGATTCGACCTCTTCTCCAAAGGATCTGCAAAAATTGATTCAAAACTGAATGGTTCATTTATTATCTTACAGTTAAACAAAAAATAGGCGTAAAATTATTGCACATATTATCACTTATTCATTTAATGACTAATTTTTTAACTATGGACAAGTGAAATTAACGAAAATTTGCAACAATATAAAAATCAAGCAATGTGCCAACATAACTGGAATTTTAAATCGGTACTATTGTACTTGCTAAATAGCCAGTTTGATCATTTAATGATTTTTTCAGACAATCTTTATTTAATTGACTAATACTGCAATCATTTTAACTAATGTTAACATCTTAATAAGTCAACTTCTCAGATTTATCATTTTTTTCGAGTAAATTAAATGGTTTTTAGCTGATAGAATTTGATGTAAACAAAATATGGATGAAAAAAAGTGAACAAGAAGAAAGACAACAGACAACGGTAAGAAGTTTTACCTGAAAGTAGAACAAGAAAAAGTTGCAGCGCAAAGTTGTAGATCTTTTACGTAATAAGTGCTAAATAAACATACGAAGTTTTTCAACCGCTGCATAATGCTGTATACAACACTTATAATATTACTCTTAAGAAAGGACGCTTTCGTTGACGGACATGAAAAATTCACATTAGCTGTCAATTGCGCTTTGTCGCTAATCACATGTTTAAAAAAATGAGAATGAAAAAAAAGGTACAATATTCGTTAAATAAGTGCCATTTGCGCTACATCCACGATCCTAACATCAGTGCGCCTTACAAATTTTAAAAGAATCCATCATTATTATCCTCAAATAGATCACCTCATCCCATCTACTTTTCACATAAATTTCTAACCGATCTAGATTTGGTCTTGATTTCATTATCTAACCGTACTTGCTCCGCCTTTATGTGTGCCATCAAACAGCAGAAATAAATTAAACATTAAACGAATTGTTGCCATTTGCTTATATAACGAAGCAAACTAAACGATCAAGCCAATTTTAACTCAAATGGAGGAGTAAATAAATTAAACGAATAAATATACGTGAGCTAAAATTAACTTTAAAATTTACGAAAATCCCAAAATTTAAATCGATAATCGAAAAAATTTGAAAAAAATGCATTTTGAAATCATTTATTAGCGAAATCAGGCCTAAAGGTTTCTAATGTTCAAATATTCGCTGAAGCACCATAAGTCAACGGCTAATATCCTCAGTGCTGGCAAAGACAACAGGCGATTGTAAGAAGTTTTACCTGAAAGAAAAGTAAAAAAACTTTATTTGTGATTGAGATTTGATAAAAACAGACAAAATATCTTCTTTAATATTCATAAGTTTTATGATAAAATCGCGTGGAATTGATAATATCAAAATAAAATTACAAAATGTAAAAAATCCATCAATCTTAAAATTGAGTTTATAATAGAATTTCAAAGATTTCTGGTTTTCCAACAACAATCAGATAATGACGATAAGACCGTATAAAAATGACAAAATTATAAATTATAACAGATGAAATTTAAAGACGATGAACATGAAACTGATTATTTACATTTAAAGGCCTTATGAACTAAATGATGTACCCGTTTTGGAAAATCAGCTTGAAAAATCGATATAAGCTAATAAAACCAGTATTTTCAACTGATAAAATTTTTAACTTAATCTTTCTTTTAGACATATTTCTTTCAATGATTAAAATAACCAAATTTCTATGGCAAATTTTTTTTGGCAGACAAGCCCATTTCAGATCTTTTAGAATGCATCAGAATGCACTATTGATCAGTGGCTGATAAATGAAATTCATTCTTTTGCATAAATTCCTTAACAATTTTTTTCTGAAGAACTATGATTCCGTAATTGAAGAAATTGATGCAAACACCTTTAACTTACGTTTATTAATTGTAAGATTTTCGAAATATTTCTATTATGCCTCTGGATCCTACTTTGTCTAAATATATAAACACTTATTCTTAACAAAACTTAAAGAGCTCGTGATATCGAAACTTTCATTTTTTTAATTTTTTTTCTCTTTTTACCAGCACTTATATTTCTGGTTAGATAAGCTGCACTATCTATTAGAATCCTTTCGCCATTTAGGAAAAAAGAGGAAAAATGATTGCTTTCAATTAATTCATTGTGACTGTAAAAGATTTTAAAAAAACCAAAAATAGGATTATAAATTATCTATCGGTAATTAAATGAGGCGCCTGTACCAAGCCCAGATCAAGTAAATAAAACAAACAGCGTCTCATAGTAAAGGCACAATCCTGCTATAAATCTGGCAAAATGTGGAATCGTCATGAATAAAATATGCACAATCGGCTGTGGAACATGGCTAATAAGCATGAAGGCTATCTATCTTTGGCCACTCTTGCCCATATTTTTTTATATTTTATGTACCAACAAACCATTTTACATACGAGTTCCAAATTAATGCATCCACCATTAATGTCGCTACCTGCTAAGTTTTGTATAGATTGCTTCAAAAACCCAGAGACCCAGTCAAGACAGAGAAGCGATTATATAGGTTTAGAAAGAGAAAAAAATGAGCAGCTTTCATTTTTACTTTCAGAGATGGCTTCGGATCAAGAGAAAAAACGGTTTACACTTAAAAGCACTCAATCAGTTTAACAAGTAATGGAGTAAAGTATTAGAAGAAAATTTATCAGCCTCAGTGATAATGTGAAATATTCTTAACAAAAAAAACATTCCAATAATAAGTGCTAAGAAATGAATCATGTTTTAGACCTTTTTAGAGAAAATATAAATCTTATGGTTATTTCACTGCTTTCAGGTAAGTCAACAGAGACTTTAAATAATAGGATGGCTTTAATAATGAAAAAGTGGTGCGAGTTCAAACAAATACCAATGGCGCCATTTGAACATATTGCCTCTTTATTCCTTTACTTTTTTCATTTATAAAAAATATCTCAGAAAGAACAGGATAGATGAATTTAGACAAAAAAAAAACAACCAAAAAAGTAGCGAAAGAATGAGGATGCAAGAATCCATGTGAAAAATCCAAATATCGACTGCTACTAAAACTTTCATGGCAAAAAATTGAAGAATGAAATTAACCGCCATTTAAACCTAAAGCATTAGAATAAAAGTGATACTTGATCGGTCAAAACTCGATACAGACGAAGACTACTCGATGATAAGCCACGAATATCACTGAGAGGAAATCACTGTCGTTTTGTATTAATAGAATTTTGCTCAGTATGTTGTTGTTTAATTCGAAGCGTCGATGCTGAGATTCAACTCTCCGCAGGAACAAACCTGTCTAAAAATCCGAGTGATGCTGGCGACTCGCCTATACTTCTATCGTCAAGGGAATCCCTGGCATATTTGTCCAGTACAATGAAATAAAATTTAAATGAATATGAGAAAACGATTCACAGGATCAGTCTTATCACTGGTCAAAGGTCGAACAAATGAAGCTTGAACTCAGAGTCGAAGAATACTACTTAAATATAGGCGATCAGGAATATAGGTAATCTGACTACTATAAATTTTTTTTCAAGAACCCTCGCCGTTATTGGTTAGACTCGCTTCGCTGTCTTATCATACAGGACAGAGCGCCAGGGAGTCCTTTGGCAACAGAAGTGAAGGTGTCGCCAGCATCACCCAAATTTTTGAACAGATTTACTCTTGCGAGGAAAAGAACATAAAAATAACAGTTAAATTAGTATTAAACAATTTAATACAATGCAATTAAATTTATTGTAAAGCAAATCAGACCTTTTCTTTTTATTATTTCGCTGTAGTAGGCTGATTCATCGAGATTTATTAATTAATTCATCAAACCTAGTAATTAATTTAATGTTCAACAAATTGCTTTAAATATATTTTCCAAGCTTTTTCGAATTGTGATTTATTTTTTAAATTTACAATTTAAATTTTCCAAATGGTAATTTATTGAACTAAAAGATTAGCAAATGAATCCAAAATAATTAGAATATAAAGATATAATGAAAAACATTTATTAAAAAAACCCAAACATTCCAATTTCTAATCAGATATTTTTTCTTTTATTTTATAATTATAATTCACCTAAAGAAATATGAGAGATAGTGAAAAAAAATCGGTCGTATTGTAATTTACCCAATTTTTTTATAGGATAGCAAGAAAGTTCTAAGCAGAACAATTTTTCAAGCAAAAAATGGCATCAAACAAAGGCATCTAATCCCTAAAAAATTTTATAACCAATTAAAAAAGAAAACAGCGACAAGAGCATTATTAAATAATTATTGTGAATTCATAAATAAAATTTCGTCTCTTTTGCCGGATTTTTTGGTAAATAACAAAAAACGATCAGAAATTGAACAATTCTAATAACCTTTACTCCCAATAAGCATTTTCAATTTTTTGCGAAAAATATTAAATTATTTTTATGAAAAAATAATATTAGAATAAAAATAAAATAACAAATGAAAATTTTATATTATCAGAATATATAACTTTATGCTTTATTAACATCTAAGGAAAAAAGGGTAATTAAAGGTTAATTTAAAAATATAGAATTCCACCATGAAATTTATTATTGACTTTTCAATAACCCATATTATTTAGATTTAAATCTCACTGCACATTCAAACATCGTTAATAATTCATCTCTTGAAATAGATACTATCATTTTTCTTCAAGAAAAAAGATAAGTTTATGAGCTAAAATCAATGATCCATGAACAATACTAATAATTATACATAATTTTTTTGATTTACATTATTTCACATACGAAGAAATATTTTTCTTATGCATATCGTAGTTCTCATCTTCACACCTAAGTAATACCTTCGGGTCTGCTAAAAATTTGAAAAATAAATTTTCAAATGTGGACTGACTCAAGGCATATTTTAATTTTCGACTGATTTGGGAAATTGCTCTTAAGAAACTAATTCAAATTTGA